AGAATCACACAAGTCCACAGAGGAAATAGTTGAAGAACTGCTGGAAGAAAATTTCTCTAACATCCTGAAAAGTGAAAAGATAAACATTCATGAAGCTCAGTGAACCCCAGGAAAGATAGACCCCAAAAGAAAATTACCAAGACATATCATAGCCAAGCTCTCCAAACTCAAAGATAAGGAGGCACTTGTGAAAGTAGCAAGGGAAAACAGAAATGTCTCATACAAAGGCAAGCAAGTCAGATTAAGCTCGGATTTCTCAGCAGAAACCATGCAAACAAGAAGGCAATGGGGAGACATATATAAAACCCTGAAAGAAAAAAAATTCCAACCAAGAATCCTTTATCCAGCAAAGTTATCAATCAAATATGATGGTGTAATCAAAACATTCCAGGATAAACAGAAGCTAAGGGATATTGTCAAAGCCAACACTGTGCTACAAAACATCCTAAAGGGAGTTCTGTGGAGTGAGAACCAACAAGAGCAGACAACAGCCAGAGACTGACATACGTGGCAGCACCTCCCAGAATTAAGTCAACAGAAGGAACAGTTGAGAACAGAACAAAACTATAAGAACAAATTCAGAGAATCTGGGAGGTCAATCTATGATCAAAACAAATACAATGTAAAAGAAGGTAAACACGTAGGAACACAGATCCAGCTAGTGAGAAGGTCAGGTCGATTACAGGATAAAATAGACTGCACTAAATGGAGAGAAAAGTTAATGGACTATAAGGCAACCTCAAAGAAAATTAATACTTCACAACATACCAAGAAAATAAAATCCAAGAAGATCACAGAAACATTAAAACTATGAAGAAACTCATAAGAAAGAACACAAAAAGCATGAACTCAACAAAGGAAGACACACAAAGACACCAGCAATACCACAAAAAAATAAACATAATGGCAGCAACTAATCCATACCTATCAAAAATTACACTGAATGTAAACTGATTAAATGCACCTGTTAAGAGACGGAGGGCGGCAGAATGGATAAGAATACAAGATCCTTCAATATGCTGTCTGCAAGGGACACATCTCACACACAGAGACAAAAACAGATTAAAAGTCAAAGGATGGAAAAAAATCTATACCAAGCTAATTGCAATAAAAAACAAACAGGAATGGCAGTACTAATCTCTGATAAAATAAACTTTAAGGCAAAAAACAGCATAATAGATAAAGATGGACATTATGTCATGATTAAAGGGACAAGTGAACAAGATGAAATAACCATAATATCTGTGCTCCCAATGAAAGAGCTCCAAAATACATTAAGCAAACGCTAATAGATTTGAAAGCAGTGTATTAAAATCACCCACTCTTACTGTAGATTCATCTATTTCTTTCTTCATATCTAACCCGAACCCGAATCCAAACCATAACCATTGTTTTGTGTAGCTGAAGAACTGATCTCTTTGCTCGTGATGTTCCATTATATGCATGCTGGCTGGCTGTGTGCCGAGGAGTCAGTTCCGACTCATAGCAACACTGTACTGGGTTTCCAAGGCTATAAATCTTTACGGGAGCAAAACGTATCATCTTTCTCCCACGGAAAAGTTGGAAGTTTCGAACTGCTGACCTTGCGGTTCGCAGCCCGATTTGTAACCACTATGCTGCCAGGACTAACCCTAACCCTAACCCGAGCCCTAATCCTAACTGTTGTTTTGTGTAGCTGAAGAACTGATCTCTTGGCTCGTGATGTTCTATTATGTGCATGCTGGCTTACCGTGTGGTGTGGAGTCGGTTCCGGCTCATAGCGACCCTGTATGGGGTTTCTGAGGCTGTAAATCTTTATGGGAGCAGAACGCCTCATCATTCTCTCGCGGTACAGCTGGTAATTTCGAAGTGCTGACCTTGTGGTTCACAGCACAATTCGTAACCACTACGCTACCAGGGCTAACCCTAGCGGGAATACACGCTCTGATTGGAACCCTAACCCTAACCCTAACAGGAATACAGGCTCTGATTAGAACCCTAACCCTAACAGAAATACACACACTGATTGGAACCCTAACCCTACCCCTAAACCTAAAGGGAATACACATTCTTATTGGAACCCTAACCCTAACAGTAACCCTAACGGGAATACACGCTCTGATTGGAACCCTAACCCTCACGGCAATAAACGATCTGATTGAAACCCTAACCCTAACCCTAAAGGTTAAGATCTGATTGAAAACCTAACACTAATTCTAACTCTAACTCTAACCCTTTCCATAAACCTAACAGGGATACACGTTTTGGTTGGAACCCTAACCCTAATGGGAATACATGCTCTGATGGAAACACTAACCCTAACCTTAACGGCAATACAAGCTGTGATTGAAAGCCTAACGGCTTTGCAGTCTGGCCCATTAACCCACAGTGCCACACCAGGGCTCCTTTCTTTAAATTAGCAGTATAAAATTATTCTACTCTAGGTTCTACTCCTCGGCACACAGCCTCATATGGATGCGAAAGCTGGACAGTGAATAAAGAGGATCGTAGAAGAATTGATGCCTTTGAGTTGTGGTGTTGGAGGAGAATACTGAGGGTGCC